TGCCATGTGGGAGCACGGCACGATGCGGCACGTGCCAGCAAATCTCCCCAGAGCATCTGCTGTGCCATGGCCGGCGGGAAAGCCAGGACCAGCCTCGGGGTCCCCAGAGCCTGTCCTCCCTGTCCCTCGGGCATCATGCACGGCTCCTGGCAGGGCCAGGGCATCAGCACTCCTGCTCCCACCCCTCCTGGCGTAAATCTGGGCAACCAACCCCTGCAGAGGACCAGACCGTGCCGGCGGGGCCGCGGCGGGGCAGGAGGAAGCGGGTCTCTTGGTGGCACCGTACCTGGCGGGACGAGGCTGGCCAGGAGGACGAGCCACTGGGGAAGGCGCATGGCAGCGCCCTGAGCACCGCTGGGGGTCCCTGGGGGGCAGAGGCAGGGGAGGCTCACGCTGCGAGGGTGGGAGGTGGCCGTCTTTGAAGTCAGCGTTCAGCAGAGGGGACCCTGACAACAAGAAGAGGTGGCCAAAGGCCTTGAAACACTTTGTACGTCAGTGCAGTCCAGCTTTTCCCACTATATTCCCCCCGCGCTGGGCTGCCAGAGCCCACCCCGGTGCCGGCCAAAGGCAATTCCTGCTGCACGGAATGGGAAAAACCTCGGTCCCAGCTCATTCACACCAGTTACCCACCAGCAAAACACATTATTGATCCACGCAGGATGAATCCTGTTTGCAGCGACACCGGCACCGCTCTGGATGCACGGCGCTGCCGGCAGCAGCAGCACGGTCTCCAACGGGCTGGATTGGGAGAGGGATGTTGAGGGGGAGCCCCGGCCCCGCTGAACTCTCGTGGGAGTTTAAGGAGCTAGTCCGGGTTTTGCAGTGAGGTGACAAGGTTTACGGAGCTTATTCACGTGCTCGCTGCATCCGTGCAACGCGGGAAGCAAACGAAGAATAGTGTAAGACTGACGTGAAAAATGTGCGTACGGCATGGGATGGGGCCATGCAAACGCCGGTTATGGGAGTCTGGGTTGAAAATAAAAATGAGGGCAAAAGAAAGCAAGTGGATACCTGAAATTAAGAGGAGAGAGACTTCTAAAGAAGCACTCTCGGAGAAATCCCCATTAAGCCAGAAATCCCAGCGACCTGCCCACGGCCGCCAACCGAGCTCCGGAGGGTCTGAGCATCTGCGGGGGGGCACAGACGTGGGGACAGAGGACAGAGGGACATGGCTGGGCTCGTGTTAAAGCTGTCCCCATATCGCAGCTCCACGGGGCACATGGCATCCCGGCTGCCGAAACGCCGGAGATGCAAAGGTGCCGGTGCCCCGCAGGAGCAACCAAACCGCGGGCTGCAGAGGGCTGAGGATCAGGTCCTGGACGTGGGACCGAAGGGGACAGATTTTTAAACTCCGCAGTGTTGATTTCAACAAGACCAGTTGCGGCGAGGAGGAGCGTGGCCACAGCCCCAAGCCTGGCACAGCCAGTGCCCGCTCTGGGGTCTGCCCCTGATTTTTGGTGGTGTACGTTCAGGTGGGATGGTTTTAACTAGGGATTTTTCAATTTTTAGAAGGTTTAATGGCTTTTTGCAGCTCTAGACCTAAGCAAACTGATGAAATTATTTTTAAATTTAAAAAAATTATCCTGTGATAAAACAGGGGTTTTTTCCTGAATTTTTTTTCATTATCATGGAAATCAATTAACTGATTGATTTCAATTTAGATCTTTATCAAACAACGTAACAATCTTTCCATATTGAATGAGGCAGCTCTTTACTCCCTGAACCGACCTTTTCCTCCTTCAATGATTTGATACTTTGCTAACACCTTTTTTCCCAACATATGCTTTGAATTTCCTTGCTGCTAATTTGGTTTAGGGGGGGTATTTTAGACTCCAAAGCACACGTGAGAGCTTTAGTTTTGCCTGGGATTTTTCCTGGCCAAACTGAAGCACCAAGAGCAAATGAAACCGGCGGGGGCCGCTGGGCTCGGGGTGAAGGAGGAAGGAAGCACCGGCTCAGCGCTGGGGTCCGCTCCCCAGCCCCCCGCCCACGCCAACGCCGAGTTCCGTTTCTTCTGCTGCCCTTCTCCCGGTTTCGGTTTCTGTGCAGCGTGGCCTCGAGGGGACCCTCCAGCGCAGGATGGGGACCCCAGGTCCCCTCCGCCCACCCACCCCGCCCGGCGGCTGGGGAACACGGCAGCCCATGGCGGGGTCCCCTGTTAGCTCAACAAAATTAAACCATTTGTAAAGCTTTCTCAACAAAAACATTTGTGATAGCCTCTGTGTGTGTGCGCACGTGCACGGCACAGCGGCGGTCTGGGCCAGCCACCTTGCACACGCCAGAGCAGAACATGTTATGCATTATCACCTAATACCAACTAGGCAAGAATATTTAGATGTTATGCACTGGAAAACAAGGGGAAAGAGGAGATTACGCAGTGAAGGACCCTGTAATTGTCTCCCTGTAACGGGACTGCACCCACAGTCACGCTCCGCCTGAGCTGCCACCCACCTGTCT